GACATTACATAAAATTAAAACGTTGTAAGGGTGAATTGGGAGTTAAAAGGTGTTATGGAGAAACAATATTAATTTCTGCGATCGAAGCAGCGAAGAAAAGGTAGTATTTAATACATAAACAAACAATCAGCGTTAAGCTTTTTTTTTAGACTTTACTTTGACTCCTAGAATTCCTGAGCTCTTTCATAGTACCAGTCCGCTCCTGTTCGTACACTTTCGCGCTCACTTGCTATTGGCGTTTAATTTATCGGGATTGAATGAAATAATAATAAAAAATAAACAACATACATACAAACATAATAATTTATTATTAGTAACATTAGCCTTAATGATAATAAAACAATTAATAATAAAACATTGCAAAAAAGTTTGTCGTTACAAATACATAAAGTCAAACGTAGGCTATTCAAACGGCCGAGAAAAAGAAGGTAGGTCAGTAATTTATTGCTTTTTGAACACGAAGGGGATGTTTATTACTAATGTTACATGAAATATAAATTAATAACATTTATAGATGACTTAATTAGCTACAAAAATATATTTAATCATAATTTACGATTACAAATATATTTTAAAAATCTATTACACTCATTCATCAACGTGGCGGTTGGAAGAGGGGGGGGGGTGCGACCGCGTAAACACAATTTTATACTTAGTACTACTCACACACATATTCAAAAAACTGGTTACTTATCCAAAAAGTTAACCTACCATTTGACTGGCCTAACGCCAAGATGGTTAAATAATGTACAAGAATGAATAAAAGAGAAAGTAACTCCATGCACATCTGACCAGCAATAGTCACGTCTATACCGCTACGATAGACAGAACTCCCTGTACCCCGCAACTTCTACACAAGAAAAGTAAGGAGAAAAGCGCGTTACTGTTTAATAGTTTTCACTGTAAGGATAACGGTATTCCATTCCAATTTATTTTAATTCGATTACTTTCTTTTCGGAATGTAACTGAGGTTGCGGAAAAATGAATTCCATCATGTTGGCATTTAATTCTTCTAAGCATAGTTGAGCTTGAAGTCTGACAACGTCGTCAACATCATTTTGATAAATGTTTTTCAAAGATCTATAGATAAAGAGAATTTCGTCTTTCAAAATAAGTATCATTTCCTTGCCAAGACCAACAAAAATTTGACGTAAAACATGGACGGCTGCTCTTCTAGGTTCTGGTGCTTTGTCAGTAGTAATGACACCGTGGACACAAGTTAGTACCTGCAAAATACATACACATACTAATCAAAAGCTTCTTGCAAAGATGGAAAACAAGAAAAGAAATTATTTTGTTCACACCAGAAGACCTATCGCTACACTGATGGTAGCTGTATAGAATTTATTGATTTCATTGTCTTAAGCAATAATACCAAAACGCAGATTCTATTTTCATTAAAACAGTTGTCATATTAACAAAAGAATAAAATGCTTCCTTCAGACAGAAAAAAGGTTTCTACTCTGCCCGTTTGTACATAAATTACTCCTTAATATTTAGAAAGTTTTTTAAAAATTTATATTTTTGGGTTAACTATAGTAGTATATCGGGGAGTGTATTTTTCATATGAATTTACAAAGCTTACCTCCTGATATTTTTTTTTTAATATCTAAAAATAAGATTCTTAGTTTTTACTAATTTACTAAAAAGGTAGAAAACGATATACTCGTTTACTAAAAAAGTCGATAAAGTTCGAGTTTTAAAGCATAAACCAACAACGTTATCACCACTATTTCATAGATTACTACATTTGCATGTGTCCGTATACAGAGTGTTTCAGAAATAAGTAGCAAGCTTTAACGGGTGTTAATCAAATTCAATAGGGAATCGGGAATCGCAAGGTACAAAAAAAATACAACATGTAATTATACAACACGCTACTGAAGTGAAACTTCTTCAAACACACAAACATACCAGGATAGGGGTTAAGGAATTGGTTTAATGGTATTATTTGTACACTATGAATTTATATTTTACACTATACATGCCGGAGTTGCCTGTAACGAACGTTGCATTGAAGCGCGCTCACGGCTCAAGCGATCCCTACTACGAACTCGACTACGTGGCCGAGTAGAGGGGGCGACATCCGTTGCATGATTTCGTTACATAGCAACTCGCATGAAATGAACTTACCCTACCGTGTGTAAAGCAGTAACCCTTCAACAATTTCTAAGAAAACCAAAAGAAGCTGGTCCTGGGCGTCACTTGGCAACATACAGTGAAATTGCGATAGGAACTAAGCAGCTATATCGATAAATCACCACCACTGAAATATTATCACCTTTTTTATGTGCCCCATAAAGTTTGTTCAATATTCGAACCCCATGCTAAAAGATAGACCTCAAGGCGTCTACCAAAATTATTTTATGACGCGCAAAAAAGTTAAGCATTTCTTTCATTTGCAGCAATCATCACACGGTCGTGCAAATCATTAACGTTCTGCATTGGCTTTTCAACTGCGCAGCTTTACACAACCCCGCACAATCAAGTCAAGAAGTCAAATGGATTTAGATCTGGACTACGCACCAGCCAAGATAAAGGAGTCGTAGCGAGATCGAGTAGAATCAGTACGGGTGAGAGTTCGAGGTGATAGAAAGAGAAGAAAGGGTGAAGACATGATAAAGTGTTTATATAGTGGTGAATTGATAATTAATTAATAATACAAACCATACATAGTTGAAAAGCTCTTAAAGAAAGGAGAACAAATCCAACGTTATCAAAGAGTTCCGTCGAAGCTTTTAGAAGAAATCGAAATATTTCATGTCAGTTACGATCGAAGGGAAATCATAATAGAAGAAATGAGACAAGTAACAAGAAATAAGAGAACAAGTAAGAACTTGAAAGGCTAAGACTACCTTCTACTTCAAGACCTGAACATCCGCTGTAAAATCATCAAAAATTACACCTTTTGATGGGAAGATCTCGTTTTTTTTTACACGAATCAGTTTAGAGCAGCGGCGGAGACAAATTCCTGGAGTGATTCAGAAAAAGTAACAGCACTAATCATTTCTTTATGAGGAGAGGCGCTAGATATATTCCGCCAAGAGTCCCAACAATATGACTACTTCCACCATCTTGTCAATCGCCTAGAAATGAGGTACGGAGATAAACATCTACTGCAGATACATCACACGCATCAGAAAAGCCGTAACCAAAGAAATAACAACAATTTGAGCACAATATAAATCTCCTCGTAAGATTAACCTACTCCTCTGCCCCTCAAGAATTCATGAACCAACTGACAGTACAAACATTTATCGACGGAGTCAGGGACTGTGAACTACAGCAAGTCCTTAGATTAATAAGCCACAAGACTCTAAGAGAAACACCGTCGCACGCCTTAGAGTTTGAAGCAGCCAACCAGTGCTAGAATTGCGGAAAACCAGGGCTCATAAGTCGAGAGTGTCCCTCAAACAAAACACGGCAGTCGGAAAACTAAGATCAGCCAACTTTATGGTGCGCAAGTTGCCTCACCCTCACCGAGTCCCCGAAGAAGTCACCATTTCAAAGCTGGACGGTGCTAACTCGTTATTCATAGAAGAGCCCATAAATCAGCACAATATTATAACGGTTCTTGACACAGGAGCATCCAACACCATTGTTCGACCTGATGTGGTATCGGAATGACGAATTCGACTTTTGACCAGAAGACTGATCTTAATTACAACTACTGGTGAGACTTTACCAGTCCATAGAGAATGCAATGTGGAAATTAGAGTTGGAAATGCGATCTTATCCAGTTGCGTATTGGTAACCGACATAGCAGATGATATCATCTTTGGATTAGACCTGCTTCAAGAACATGGAATTGACTTAAATCTGAGCACTTCTACAATGCGCAATCGATGGAGAAGAGATAGTAATGTCAAACCATAAGATGAAGTTTGCCGTCTATAAGGTAATCATAAAGGAATCGAGTATTGCCAAGTCGTTCCGAGAGCATTATACACTCGTAAGAAGTGGAACATCATCGATGCCAGTTAGAATAGCCAATTTGAAAGACTTCGAATGAAAGATCTACGATCGAAGGCACAGAGTTGGGTGTATATTAACCGGTAGCTGAAATATCCACCACTGTGACTGAGAAGAAGAACCCAAGAAGAAACCGACAGCACTTCCAGCAAATTTCTCAGAACTGGTGCAACGGTCAGGTAACCATCTCAACAAGCACCAAGTTAAACAATTGGAAGAATTTCTTGGCCATTTTAAACACGTCTTTGTCCTGTCAGATCAAGATTTTGTTAGGACTTAGCATACCACCACATTGACACTGGAACAATAAGGCCCATCAATCAACCACCTAGAGAAGAGTTCCTTGGGCGCAACAAGAGAAAGTCAATATTATCATAAAAGACATGCATAAGCAAGGGGTAATAGAACTATCTCAAAGTTCATGGGAAGGATGGTTCCACGAGATTCTGTGTGGACTACGGGAAGTTGAATGACGTAACGCTGAAGTACAGCTACCCATTACCTCGAATCGACGACACACTACATAGTCCAGCTGGAGCTAAATGGTTCTCTATTCTTGATTTGAAAAGTGGATAAGCATCCACAGGATAAGAAGAAGACTGCCTTTACAACTGGAAATGATCTATTGCAGTTCAATGTGATGCCTTATGCATTGTGCATTGCACCGACTACATTCGAAAGACTCATGGACACTGTATTACAAAGATTAAACTGGAAAATCTGTTTGGTTTACCTAGGCGACATCATCATACTAGGTAGAACTTTGGACGACCACCTCAGAAACGTGATTGAAGTCTTCAAGAAATTGTCAGCTGCAATACTGAAGCTAAGTCCCAAGAAATGCATCCTGTTTAGACGAGAAATGAAATGCCTAGGCCATATCATGACATAACCAGAAGGAATAATGACCGTTACGAACTTTTCAAAGCTTTCTGGGGCTTTGCTCCTACCACTGAAGATTCATACGAGGATTCGACGATATAGCCCGACCACTACATATAGAGTAAAGTCGGTGAATGTGGAATAGGTCAGGTAATGTGGAATACCATTTTTGCACTAAAACTAGAAGTGTCATCTACATTCTAGTTGCTGTATTAGGTACTACTCTTAATGTATTTCGAAGTAATGTGTTATGTAATCCTATGTTTGTTATAGATGACGTTGTGTTTAATCAGAAATGATTTCGCAGGTGGCTGACATTTTGTAGGGTAGTGATACTGCTAACTGTTACGCATTTGTTTGGACCGATTTAAAAATAGTGGTGCTGCGTGTAGTTACTGTAAATGTTTTAGAGTGTGAGGTATGATATTACAGCCCTATAAAATTAACTTTATCCAAGTTTCTATATGGTCATAGTTTCGTGTCTATAAGCGGGTATTGTGGAATATCAATAGGTTTGCTATTGTGGACTATTCCACATAACCAATTCCATTTTCCCCTCCCTAACTCCCAATGAAGATGCCGAATGTATTTTTTGTGCAGGTAAATTTTCTGAAGATACAAGAGGAGAGGTTTGGATACAATGCATAATGTGTAGTGGCTGGTGCCATGAAGTGTGTGCAGGAAATGAAAGAGAAGTTTATATTTGTGATTTCTGCCAGTAGATATTATGATTACCTGTTTTTTTAGTCTTCTTTTTTTGTATCATGTAAAATGTTAGTCAAATAAAATATTTTTCTCGTTGTAGGTGAAATTATTTACTGAAAATGGTGGCGTGTTAATTCCATGGTAATATCCTATTCCACATTACCTTATAGGACTATTCCACTTTACCTACCCATTTTAACAATCTGAGAATTTGTTGACTTTGATTATTTCGTCTGTTAAAAGGTATAGATTATGTGCTACGTCGCCTAGACGGGAAAAACAAATAACTAGCTGACTACAGATATTACCGTGAATAAAAAGATTACAGAAGTATGTTTAATAAACTTGTTTATAATTTTTAAAAAAATGGTATTCTACATTCACCGACCTTACTCTACTTACAGAAGATGGAGTTTCATTTCAATGGATATCCGAATGCCAAAAAGCATCTGAACATCTGAAAATTACACTCTCTGGAGCCCCAATCTTAACATACCCACAATTCAACGAACCCTTCATCGTTGATGCCAATACTAGTAATGTAGGACTAGGTGTTATGTTATCCTAAGTACAAGAAAACATGGAAAAGTCATCGGATACTTTAGTAAAACACTCTCGAATCTAGATACGATCGACGAGCCAAATTCTGCTGAGTTTACCGAACGCGACAAAGTATGGCTATATAATCCATAAAGGTGGAAAGGACGTTGTTACCAGCTGATTGAAAGGGTGGTTGAATTGTCGTAATTTCTTGTGTGATCCTATCAGCACCGGAATGGTCCTCGTCTGTACTTTGAAATATGTTTTTCTTGCAAACGGTGAACTTTCGAATTTACATTTTCTTGTTTTATAGTGCCCTATCACATCCAGCAAGCTTGCTACTTATTTCAGAAACACCCTGTAAAGCTGCCATTGTTTATGTTACCTCAGTTAAATATAAAACAGAAACATTTCAACTTTCAAGCCTTTCTGAAAATATCATGCAAAATACAATTACGGACTGACAAAATAAAAACATTTTATTTTTGCCCTCATATTATGATTTTACTGGCTTTAAAAAAAATAATGTTATTAACTAATGATTTTCAGTTATGACTAAAAATTTAATTGTGTCAATGATCTTAATTACGAGATTATTTCTTACTTCGGTGATTATAGTTCCTACACCAAATCTTAAAGCCTGGCATACAGCCCCCAAATTTGAAAGACTTGAAGCCCTTAGAAGATGGTCTTCATTTTTCGCACCATGAAGAAAAGTATTCAGCAGAATGGATTTATGTTTTGATGCCATTTTACCTGTTAATACAAAACTTAATAGTAATTGAGCAAACATTTACCGTAGCTCACATAGATAATAATTTATAGAATTTTGATCTTACAAGGCTTACAAATTACTTATAGTAAACAAAAACAATTTTAGGCTTTCTCCATCAGTTACCACACTGAAATTTCAATAGACAAGAATTATTTTTAGATAAATTTCACATAATTGAAGAATATTAAGTTCTTAGTCGGCAATTTATCCAAATCACCAGATCTGGATCGTGGTTTTGCTCACATCAAGTGAGTGGCAATATATCGTCATCTGTATATATATTTACCACGAACTGTACCGTTACTATGAAATGCTATAGCTAGTAAGAGCCGAAATGAAGATTTTGGCCCGGGTGCGATGTAACCAAATGGCCTGGTTTAGAAGGAAAAGTGCACAAATCTTAACAGCACTCATTTTCAAATAAATTTAAGAAGTTAGGAGGAAATTTGCGTTTGTTTTTGCTTGGGTCTTTGCTCTTGTTTTAAAAATTTATTAAGTTTTTTTTTAATTTCTCTTTTTTTGTTCACATTTTTTGAGTCATTTGCACCCCTGCAACCCGGGCCAGGCCGGCCCTGGCTAGTAGTAAATATCTATAAATTGGAATATACTGACAGCTACTTAATATTTCTATGGTTAGGTACTCAAAAGGATCTGAAATGTTTCTAAATACCCTAAAATTAATTACCTAATGTTCTTGTAATTTGAACTAAGGTTTCTCCAATTTTTATTGGAATTTCATGACCGTCGGCTTTACTCTCTTTATCGTAATTAACATATTCTTCACATAACACTTCCAATACGGTGTCTGGAAAGATATCACCTAATGCTGCGAGGCCTCTAATCGCATTTAAATAAATAAAAGAGTCTTCGTCTTTCAAAAATTGCTGAAAGAAAAGTAAATTCATAGAACAACCTAAATATTGAATAAAACCTGTAAAAGTAGAGTATGTAATTGCTACTAATATTCGAAACTCAAAATGGTTGTGAAAAACGATTACAATCAGATTTATACTCCTATTAGTCAGAAAAGGCTTTAAAATTCGATTACTTATATCTAACATAGCCGTCTCTACTACAAGCCGTGCTGAGAAGTTTGGCAACAGCGCATTACTTCAATGTGACAGTCTTATTTTGCGAGTCTTACTTATTACTACACGCCGCTACACATGATGTTTAGACACCCATTACGATAAAATCGAATCAAATTATTAAGTAACTAACACTTATTTAAAATACACTTCAATATGCAGGTATTAAGAGCACAATAGAAAAGATTAGGTAAACATTAATAGGTACCTAATATGAATGTCATATCGATAATTGTAATTTTATTAAGGCAAATTTCCACACAACCATTGAAGTATTGCCAAGATGCGTTACCTTATTTTTTTTCTCATCCCATTAGAAATAAAAAATACAACGTGTAATTATACAACACGTTACCGAAGTGAAACTTCTTCAAACACACAAACATACCGGGATAGGGGTTAAGGAATTATGTAGTTTAATGGTATTATTTGTACACTATTAATTTAAATTTTACAATACACGTGCCGGAGTTGCCTGTAACGAACGTTGCATTGAAGCGCGCTCACGGCTCAAGCGATCCTCACTACGAACTCGACTACGTGGCCGAGTAGAGGTGGGGGCATCCGTTGCATGATTTCGTTACATAGCAACTCGCATGAAACGAACTTACCTTACCGTGCGTAAAGAAGTTTCATTTCAAAAACTAATTACAATTTGAACATTTCTAATTTGCGTATTTTTGCAGTCTTACAGTTAGCTGAATTTGAATTGGAGTGGCGGGACTCTTGCTTTCTATCATTTATAATTTTAACGTAATCAATACATTAGCAAAAGAAGATAAAATTTGAAAGAGTATATCATTATGTTTTCATCAACTACATACTTTTGAAAATTCTAAATAAACAATATCGTTTTTAATACCTTTCAATAGTTAATTTTCCTAAAATTTGTTTTTGATGTTCAGCCCGTACAAATAGTGTGCAGATTTTCGTTATTACTTATTTCTTCAAAAATGGCATAAATGTGAAAAAAAAACTGTACTGGCATCAGTAGGAACTAAAAATCCTCCCCTTTGTAAATAATCAAAATAAAGATCTCCAACGCAAAAGCCTTTATTTTTTATTATGAGCAAAACACAATTATCGCAAGTTACCTTTTTACGAGCAGAATGAACTGCATATTCTGAAATGTAAATTTTTAAGGAGTCATCTAAATCATAATTCATTAAATAATCGGAATTCAAAATTTCTATAAACTGACGACTTATGTGTAAGGGAGAATTTTCAACATTGTAAATATCTGTTTCAACATTCTCTCGTAATTTTGAATATGTTAGAGGCACATTGAAAACTTTACCGACAGTGGATACTTTTTTTACTGTTTTTATAATGTCATTTTCGTTATAGTGATATATGCAAACTGCAGAATATTTTGATGGAGTCCAATCTTCGCGTGGTATTGCATTTATCCATTTTTTTTGCATTTCATCATTTTTTGGGAATAAAAATAAAGACTCATACTCACCAGATTTTGAACATGATTTATAATTTGAATTGCAACCGGGAACACAACCACGACGAGGCATTTTGTTAAGAAATAAACATTAACTGGGAAATCCTAGGACTCCCACAGTGTTGCCAAGTGAACCTTCAGCACGGCTTGTAACTAGAGACGGCTATGCTTATAACTAATTAAGTGTTACATTTAACTTAACTTATGAAGATCTAACAACAAGCATCAGTAATAATTAATTAATACTTAATTATAAAAAAATAATAGTAACATATTCATTATTGGAAATGTATGCCATTTAATGTGGGTGATATTGTTTATGTTTACAACTCTAGCAGATGTATACAAAAACATCAATAATAAAAGTACCTATAATAAAAAAACGAAAAGTGCGTACCTGGAAGATGTTTAACAAGTACTGTTTCTTCTTCATAGTTTCTTCGTCTTTTTGTTCTAAAAGTTTCGCTAACGACAAAAGTCCGTGGCCTCTAATTGGTAATAAAGGATCAAATACATCCTGCAACGCCTTTTCAAAGTTTGTAATTTCCTTAGCATCTTTCTTCAAATTCTTTTTATTATATTGGAAATTATTCAAAACCAAAAGAATATCCGTCGCTATTGTTTTTAATTCGGTACATTTCGATTTGTTCGAAATGATTTGCAAATTTTCGATCAAAGGTTCATAATAATGTATTGTGTTTTTGTCTACGATATCTACCATCAATTGTATTACCATAAAAAATCCAAAGAGATGTTGAATTTCATTTATGTCAAAATTTTCTTTCGTATACAGTTTAAACAAAACCGCATTTTCTAAAAGGGTTTTAAAATAATTTAAAATGGATTCTTGACATTCCAGTAATAACTTTTTCGAATCTTCTTCAGTTTGAAGCAATGCACAGATCAGTCCTACGACCATTTGTTTACTTTGCAAATCCCTTTGTGTCGTTAAATTGAAGTAAATGTTTTCATGAGTTAAAGTGTTTAGAAGAAATTGAAAGAAATGCCTCTTTAAACCAAAATTGTTACCCAACAAAACAAGGGTAGTATTTCCAGCTATCGACAACGAAGTAATATCGGTCTGCTCTACATTTTGTATATAAATAGAGGAGTCGTTTTCAATAAATATATTCATGTTTTTATCCATGGCAATAATCCTTGAAGTGTACCTTTCAAATAAAGTAGCATTGAAAAACTCCATTATTCTCTCCTGGTCATCATCATATGTTAATATTTTATACAAAACCTCCTTCAGGAGTTCTGTGAATTTGACAAACTGTTCCTCTTCAAGTACAACAACATATATTCGAAATAGGATGGCTATATATTTGAACAGTAAAGAAGCTGGTAGTTCAGGAGCATAATCAACACCGTTGCAAAAGCACATGTGTAAAATTCGAATACCTTTCCTAATTTCTTTAGTAACATCCTTTTTCAAATCCGTTGGCTCCTCGATAGAACATTGAAAAAATTCAAATACTTTATTCACCAGGATTTGAGTATATTTTTTATCTCTCTCAATACAGTACAACTGTTTTGTACATAATGAAAATACTTGCTCAAACGGATATAAACGACGGCTGTCTTCAGAATCGAGATCAAGCAATTTAATAACCTGTTTACAAATATTTTCTTCGAAATCAGGGGAGTTTCTAGAATCGACTATTATTCTAGAAATGATGCTGACAATTTTCCAAGTTCTTGTGGTATCGTCAGGATTTTCGGTTCCTGATACATCCAGCATAGCACTCACAAGGCTTTCTACCCCTTTCGATTTTCCCATTGCTTCATTAAGATTCGAGGCTACTGCTACGTTTAACCATTTAGGTGAATTTTTTTTTAATAACATCATGGTTTCACGTAAATAAATAGTCTTAAAAACGTTGTCTTTACAATAGTTAAAAACTTCAGCGAATCTCTTTCTATTCTCTAAAATTCTTGCATAGAACTCGTCAGTCATTTGAAAATCTGTTTTATCATCGCATATTAAGGATGGCTTTTTAACTTTGCAATATAAGACCTGATACAGAGCAGACAAAATATATTTAAAATAATTAGTGGTGATTATTGGTTTTATAAGTTTAGATTGCATACAAATATAAAGTTCATACAGAGTAAATATCAGTCTATTATATTTTACATCAACCGGTTCCTCTTTGCAATATTTGTCACTAGGTAAAGCTGTATAATTCATCGAAGGAAGCAGCAAAGATGCTATCCCTACACCAACAATGTTTCTAAAAATATTTGTTACGATTTTAGTTTGTTGCACACTAAGCATTTCTTCTGGACTATTTTGCAGAACTTTAAGCAATTGGCGTATGAAATGAAAATTGAGATAAAGATACTGAGATCTACTGTTTTCTGTGGGTAAAGTGTAAACAAAATTTTCTTTTTCAAGTATCTCTTTAAATGATTGTTCTAGGTTTTCTTCCAAATTTTTAATATTTTCTTGCAGTAGATCGTCCATATTGCCTAAGAAATCTGTAAAAATATACGTATTTTATTTATTAAAGTGCATTTAATTTATTAAAAGATAATCTTCTACATGTACAGTTCATTGTTTTACTTTTACAGAATAAAATGTACCACGTATATATCCGAACTAGGTATAAAAACTGTTTCAGTTTTAAAAAAACCTGATACATAATTATTTATGGTTGCTAATTCATATAACCATTTATTTAAAAAATAAGGATCGCCAACAAATAAAAAAATATGCCAACGAATCCTTGAAAGTAAACAAAAGTATGTAAGGAATGAGGATATATTATTTATTTTTATTTATGTATCTACTTATGTCGGCCATTATCAGTTTAGATCAAGTACATTGAAACATTTCTTCACCTCTTGAAGATTAGGTTATTGTAAGAAAGATTAACCTGATTTAAAATTTAATTTCGGTGATTACATATGTGAATTGGCACCTAATCACCTAAACCCTAAACCATGTGGATCTTTAAGCCTTTGAGTGTGGCTTAGCAGTAAATGACCACGTGTGGGCATTAATTATATTATGGTTAAAATCGCGTACAGAGTTAAAATACAGAAATAAGTGCAGAGCTTGCAGGAGGTGAAAGAGCACTATAAATAATAAAAATTAAGTAAATCTTTATATGCCCGAAAGTTCATCGTTTTCAAGAAAAACGTCGTTGAAAGAACAGGTAAATCCAATTCCGACTATGGTAAAGAAATACAGTCCGCAACGCTGCATTCAATCAGCTGATATTACTAGCATCAGTGTGGTATTTGTTTTGTATTTTTTATATATTGTTTATTTGCTAGATTAAACTAAGTGTGATTCATTGCGGGTGTTTACATTAACAACAAACGTCTAGTAGCCGTTTATTCTTTCAACATTTAAACCATGTATGTATGTAATAGGGAATGTGGAGTTCAATAAACTAATTCAGCAATACAACATCAATGATTAGTGCAGGTTAAAATGATTTTCAGCCGCGAGTGGATTTGTGTCGGTGGTTTCAAAAGAAAAGTGCTGCATAGCCTAATTTCTTCCATATGGTGTAGTTTATAGAGAAATTTGTTTCACGCTGGACGAAATTTTGAATTTTCCCAGTACCCACTATTGATGGGACACAAATTTCCATGTCGTGCATTCTTCGCGATTAGGGAACTGTTTCCGGTAAATGTGGTGCGAAATTATGTTCATTTGCCGAATAATGTTTACGTAACCTTCTTTCTTTTTGTCTTCGTACATTTACGTAGTCCTGTCTGTAATGTATTTATTTAGTTTAAAAGTCTAAACTTTATGTACAGCACTAAGTAGTTTATGTTTATCTTCTATAATCGGCAATGTTTACATTCTCCATTCATGTAACTGCAGAATTTTTATCGCACTACACTATTCGGTAGATACCTACCTACATTATCAACTCACGTACAGGACCGGATAGCAAATAATTACGGTTTTCTGATCAACCAAGCTGCTGAACTTACCGTGCGATTATTTATTACATTTGGTTTACTCCCTCCAATGCTCGGCACTTATTTCTGTTACACCCTGTGTAACGCAAGATTTTTAATTAACGAATAACATAAGCTATGTCGGCTTTTACTTAGCGCTTTAAATATCGCGCCGCTGCGTACTGGTGGTTGCTACAGCAACTAGGGACGAGATGTTGTGAAAGATGTGGTATACACTGAGGATAGAAAAATTTAGAAATGACGAGGTATAAGGAGTGGGATAACGAAGGGCATTACAGAAGCCAATAAGGAAAAAGAGAAATAGAAAGGAAATACACCTTCTGAGGGATAAGGAAGACCTAGATTAATGTTAGAAGATTAGATTAATGTTTGCAAATAGTGAAGGCCTCGTTCTTCGGACTGATGACCTGATGATAAAATAATATTAAAGCTTTTTGATACTTTCGTTGGTTCTTCTACCTCGAAAGATTGCGGACCCTTAACCTAACCTCTAAAAGATGACTAATTTTTTTAATTTTTTGGGTTTTGAGCCGATGTACTTTATCTAAAATGATAATGGATCGCCATTATTAAAAATAAGAGCATTTCTAGTTAGTTCACGCAGTAACAAACAAGTTCTTAACACAAATTATAAAAAAACCGTACACCAAGGCATCAAATTATGTTTTTTTACGTTTTACCTATATTTATTTCGAATAAGTAAATCTTTTCATCAGAAAGTTCTGTTGCACCATAATTTACATTCTTGGTAGGTACCCATCATCATATGGTATTGACGTTCTCACTTGATAGGTTTTTAGCATCATAAAATTCGTTAGTAATTATTTGCCTTCTCAAACGTAATTATTATTAGTTTTTTGTTGAACACCTAATTTTTAACTATTTTTGCCTGTCATCTGCAATGAAAATAATTTATAAAATTACATTGTAGGTATATTTTTTACCAAAATTATACTTTTGTTTAATCATCAGAATTAAATTTTGCGCCTGACACTGATGTTAGGTGGGGATTGGGGTCAGTTGGCCTTCGGTGGAGTCGGTAATAAGGAAGGCAGCAACGGCATTGATGGTGGTGGCGGAGCCCTTTGGAGTTTACGTTCCTTACGGTCGGCCGACGTTATCCACAGATTGGGGGCGTAACCGCCTTCGAGAGTAGCGAAGAGTTGATCAAGGGCGGCAGTTGACAAACTCCGGGACTTGCCAGTGATGAAAGGCCTTGGTAGTGGCCTTGGTGGCGGCAGACCGGGCATATGAGTGGTTGGAATAATGGGAGCCAGTTTGTCGATGGTATCTCACTGAGCGAGATGTGTATAGGATTATTAGGATTTGGTGTTGAGACGTATCTTGTTTGACTATAAACGCTGAGACGTATTCCAATCGAAAGGGAGTTGGGACTACCAAACTTATTCAGCAAATGCCTGCCAAATTGGAAAAATACTTAACTAAAAAATGAACATTCATAAGCAAATATATGGAGTTTTTGAGACGAAATTCGTATTGGCTATTTACTTCCGAAGATATAGAGCAACCAAAGGTTCTCAGGGTCAGGAGATATTAGTTTCCGAAGCTTTTGCAAGCATCGAGAAGCATCTTCCAGAAACAGAATAATTTGAACCGAAGAGAGCTAATACTAGCCAGCCTCGTTAAATACGAATACGACTACAGAAGAAAACATTTTAGAAATGACAGAGAATGAGCAAAATCGGTCCTCGAGTTCTGAAATATTAGGCTGGAATTAACAGACCGCACTTACATCGAATTTTTGTTATTACATGTTAATTGCAGGTAACTTAATCTGACCTAGCCTAAGAAACTAAATATGTGTAATGGCCACCTTTATGCAGAAGAAATTCAGAATCATGTGTCATAGGAGTAATTGATACTTATTTGCATGGTCCATTTAGATTGTCAGATCAAGAAACAATACCAGCTTTGCTAGAATTTGCGTTTAGATCTCATCTTTATGCATGTTTGTGCACCTCCTAATTTCACACGTTACAAGAAACCTTTTAAATGAGCAATATTGACGATACCAAAAAAATATACACAGTTCTGCAAAAAGCAATCACTGTACTTAATTGTAAAAAACGCATATGATAAAAGTTTTTTTATTATTCACATGATTTTCAGTATTTACTGTCAATTTTTTTCATTGGTAATTTTGAATAGCTTCCCTAAATCAAATTTTGTAGATGTGTCGATGTGACTCGTATTTAATATTGTCACATATTTAAACTCCTTCTGGCACTTTTACAACTTTTAACTATTTTCTGTCTAATTAATACTTCTACTATTAATTAGTTATCAATTCCCCTCTGTAAGAACACTCTGTCACTTCTTCGGCCCTTCTTCGCTTTGTATCGCCTCCAACACTTTGACTCGTACTACTCTTCTCAATCTCGCGACAACTATTTATACAGGCTGTCCCTATTCCAGAATGTTCCAGTATATGCCTTATAGAAACCTGGTCTGCTTTGTAACTATGTACGTTGGGTTGCCCACACTGCCCCCTCCTAAAATTGGTCGTCCCGATCAGTGACGTCGCCTCTATAAGGAGCAAGCCGATCAAGATGGAAGATCTTCATTTTTGCCCGATGCCCCTTCTGAATTCAATAAACAACGTCGTTTATGCGTCTAGTAACGGTTTATGGACCATCCCAAGCCTGTCCCTTTCTTGGATTATATAATCATACTTTATCGTCTTCATTAAACACAGCAGAATTGACTCGTCGATCGTATCTGGTCTTCATGCGGTCACTTTCAAATCCTAGCTTCGTATGCATAGCGTTATGGATGACTTCTAATCGTTCTCGTAGTTCACCTACGTATTCGTCCATAGGTAGTGGAGAGTCTTCAAGACGACCAAACATCATGTCCGCTGGAAACCTGAGTTCTTTCCTGAATAAAATGCTGGCTGGTGTTGTTCCAGTTGTCTCATGGATAACGGATCTATAAACCAGGAGGAATAGTGGTATGTGTCGGTCCCAGTTAGTTTGGTGTTCGTTGACGAAGCTTCTTAAATTGGTCTCCAGAGTAGCGTTAAATCATTCAACCATTCCATCAGACTGTGGATGTAAGGGCGTAGTCTTCGTTTTAGCAATGCCCATTAGTTCAGCGACATTCTTGAACAAAGCCGATTCGAAGTTCCTGCCTTGGTTGAAATGCAATTCCAATTGTATTCCATATCGGGTAATCCAGTCATTGTCAAAGCTTCTCAGAAACGATGTGTGCTTCTTGGTTTGGTATCGCATATGCTTCGGGCCACTTACTAAAGTAATCCTTGACTACCAAGATTTATCGGTTACCGGAGTCCGTCACTAGAAATGGCCGTGCCACGTCGACTGCTATTGTCTTAAATGACGCTCCCACGTTATACTGTTGCATTCGTCCACAACTACTTGTCTTCGGTCCCTTACTGGCGGCGCACGTCGGGCATTTCCTGTACCAGTCTTCCACATCACTTGTAATTCGTGACTAATAAAATTGCTAGCGTACCTTTCCTTAAGTCTTAGTATCGCTGATATGTCCTTCGTCATGAACTCCTTCTAAGGCTTCTGAAATTCTTTGTTTCTGGTTCCATCTGAATTTTCCCACATTTTTTTCTCAAAACGTCGTGGTCCAAATTAAAGAAAGTCCACTGCGCCGAATAACTTTCCGTTGTTTAATTTAGGTGGGTTACATCTGCCCACGATGGTCTTAAGGTTCCGACTTCCTCCCATCTCATTATTGGGCCTTCCTCTCGTCCTCGATTAATGCCTTGTCTTCCCAGGATCCCTTAGGCTGAACGGTGGTTACATTACAACAGATCGACGCCAGCTCTTCTCCGCAAATGAACAATGCTTGTAGTTTTCTACGCAAAGGTCTCCGGAATAGAGCATCTGCTTTGCCGTGTTGATTACCTGAGCGATCCTCGATGTCAAACTAATATTCTTAAAGTCGTAACCAACGTGCAACAGGTTTTGTGGAAATTTTCGAAAGTTTTAACCACCGTCATAAGCTCTCGACGAGTGACACAATAATTTCATTCTGGTATTGAGAGTGTTTTACTGAAGTACCTGATGGCCTTCTCCTCACCATCTTTGAGATGACACACCACCAAGCTCCACACTACAAAAAGGATTCGCTGATGTTTAAATGCAGATGTTTAAATGCTTTTTGGCATTCAGATGTCCAATGGAATGAAACTCCGTCTTCTGTAAGTCTGTGTAGTGGTCGGGCTATATCGGCGAATCCTTGTATGAATCTTTGGTAGTAGAAGCAAAGTTAGTAACGATCCTTCGGTATGAGTCAACTCCATACGATATCCGTTTTTTCGGGATCGGTCATAATTCCTGCTGGTGTTATGACATAGCCTAGTTTTTTCACTTCTCTTCTAAACAGGATGCATTTCTTGGGACATAGCTCCAATCTTACGGCTGAAAATTTCTTGAAGACTTCAGTCACGTTTCGGAAGTTTAAAGTTCTTCCTAGTATAATGATGTCGTCTAGGTGAACCAAATAGATTTTCCAGTTTATTCCTTATAATGCAGTGTCCATGAGTCTTTCGAATGTACCCGGTGCATTGCACAATCCAAAAGGCTTCACATTGAACTGTCATAGGCCATTTCCGGTTAGAAAAGCAGTCTTCTCCATATCTTGCGGTTGCATATCCACTTACCATCACTATCCATTTTTCAAATCAAGAGTAGATAAGCATTTAGCTCCAGCTTGACTATCTAGTGTGTCGTCGATTCAGGGTAATTGGTAGCTTCAGCGTTACGTCAACTTTCTATAGTCCAGACAAAATATCGTGAAGCCATCCTTCTTGCGTACCAGCACTATAGGAGAAGCCCGTGAACTTTAAGATTTTACTACTCCTTGCTTATGTTACTGGTTATGTGTCACAAAATAATATGTCAAAAACCTTAGTCAATTTCTTTCAAAGAAAAAGATGTATCTATATGTGACACCCCACATGTCAGAAGGAAAAAATTTTTACAACGTGACCATATTTCCTTACACCAGCTAGACGTATTATAATCAATGGTTTCATATTCTTTTCTCAATTTTTATATTTTTAAACTATTTACAGAGGCCACTGAAGATATTTTCAGACATAAGTTAATTAACGGCACCTATTTACTTACTTTTTTATTTTTTACGTACTACTTAGTAAAGTTCAGCAGTTTAGGAGCTATTGAATATTTTCTACAAAACTAGTGTTACTACCTACCTACTATAATTTTAATATGTGAAAGGTTCTAATTTAACATTATAACTACTTTTCTTGTTATTTTTTGTGTTGACCTGTGCTATAAAAAGCAATTACCATAAAGTAATAATAACTGCATAACTGGTATTCGAGTTAATTACTTAATATACAATAATAATAATGGACACTTTTGAATTAAAAAGTTAATGTAATACGGTAAGACGGGCAAGACATCCCAATACCCATTTTTGTTTTATGATACAATAGAACTTTCTAAATCGTACTTGTGACAAGCTGTATTTTACTGTCATTTACAAATACAAATATAACCTCCAAATTTTTCTAAGTTGCAAATATTTGTGCAATATGTATAACTACCATTTAAAGCATCCCATAAACTAACAAATTAATTGTAAAATAACTATTATTATTTATTATTTAGACTTACCAACTGGATTTTTTGAATTAAGTAATTCAAGGTACTGGATTATTTCCATCTTTTCCATTACTACATTGTTTTACAACACTTAACAAACAATGCACTTTAATATAATTATTAAACACAGCAAACGTTAATTGTTTAAGCCAAATACTCAAAAAAATATCTGTATTACATGCACTCCACCAGAACTTCACAACTTCACTATTTAGGTTAAGTAACTCTTCCCATAGACAATAGTTCTGCTTTCTTTCATATATTAAAACCCAATTTAAAAAAATATATTAAAACTGAACTCACACTTTACCTTTATTCTTTAGAATGCATCAAATGATGGAAATGCAGTGGATATCAGTGTATATGCCTTACTCATGTGTAAAGCATAAGAATAACTCTTCGTTAAAGCACATTTAATAAAATTCAATAAACAATTTTATTACTTTAATTACGACGTAAATTAAACAAAGTACATGAATATAAACTTAAAATATGTAGCTTACAAAATGGAACTTATTGTAATCCACCTCGAAGGGCTAAGACTAAATGAAGCACTGAACCTCCTTGAACTTTATAATCTTGCGCCGTCTTCTCATCATTCCTAAAAAGAAAATGCAAATGAAATTTTATTACTAACGATACATACTTTCAACTACACTTACATTTGTTTACCAGAAAAAATTAATCTTTGTTGTTGTGGTGGAATTCCTTCTTTTTCTTCTACTCTCTCCTTTATCCTTTCAACTTTATCTGTTGGTTCTATATCAATTTCAATTTCTTTACCAGTTAGCGTCTAATAATTAAAAATCCTGACATAAAATTTAACACATAACCTAAATGCAAACTCACCTTCACTTTGATCAACATTTTTGTAGGAGGTTAAGTTGATTGCGCGATTAAAAATTAAACCACAATTGAATTCAATTTAATTTGTATTTTAAAAACAGAAATATGATTTATTTCAGTTTATCAAAACTGAAATTTGGTAATTGTCAAGTAACCCTAACCGGTTACTGACATCACAGTAAACAGTAACTTAATTTTTAAATGAATACCAATCGATTGTGACTACCAGCCCGAACAATTTGAATTTTCAAAATAGCACGAGCTAAATGCTTTTGTTGTTTATGTGGTGCTGTGGTTAATTTAGGAGTAATTTAAAATCTGTATCTGATTACTTAAATCTTAAACTATCACACATGCAATAAATCTGGAGTCTGAACGTTAAATCATGTACATGTTTAGTGTTAACTAAATACCATAAAAAATAAGGTAACATTACCAGTGCTTCATATCATTAAGTTTAATACAGTTTAGTTTTCATGAAATGCTTATTCTTGGAAACTACGTAATGTAGTCACCTACATTCAGGTGTTACCACATTATAACAAATTTACTATTGTTTATATGTTTAACTGGTCATTTTACAATTAATCTTTCTATTTTTATTTAAAAATCACCTAATTGTGTTTAGGTTAGGTTAGGTTAGATTTTATAAGATAAATGATTGTTTTTATTTATATTTCTGTAACGCAATTGAATCTTAAATATTACTAAGTTGGTATACAATCAAAACCGTAACATCAAATTTTAAAATAATTTTTGTTTGCTAATGAGCATTGATAAGAATAGGAGAACAGAGGAGGTCATAGACACATTAAAAGCAGAAACAGGAGTTAAGAGGAGCAGAGGTAGACCTAGATTAGATTACTGTTTATAAATAGTGAAGGACGTGGGATGTTCTAGTTTTAAGGAAATGCGAAGATTAGCTCAAAATAGGAAAGAATGGAGAGGTATCACTTTTTTTTAACACCTTATTAGTGTATTCATGTTGTTGACTTAATGCGAATCCGTCTAATTGGGGACTAGTAGATGAAGTCTCACGAAGTCTCTAACTAGGGCTTACAATCCTTACTGAAATCTCACTGGGGTAGGGTTGAAGAACTCCGGCGCATACTGGTAGAGTGACTTGTTCCTTTTGTTGATACGGGCGATAATAAAAACGAAATAATTGTCTTGTTTTATGCACATATTGTCAAGGACGGAGGAGGTTGTATCCTAGAAGGGCTTCACTAAACTGAACAAGAAGTTCGATAGGTAACAGTCTCAATGCTTCGGGTTCTGATAACTTAAGTGGATACGGATTCCTTTGTTTCTAAGGTTTGCTCTGGGGTTGTAAATAGGTGTGGGCCAATGTCCGATAAGTAATAGTGTGGGTAGTCATGTTGATAAAATGTGCCTTCTTCCAGAAAGAGTAGGACGTTTGTGGTGGCTCTGATAATAGCTTTTACCTTTACCCTTCTTGAGAAGAGGTCTGTAAAGAAAATTATGAACCAACTCCGCGTAGTAGTCATTGGATAGGGGCTCATAATATCGATGAAGACAGTCTCCTAGGGACGCATGGGATTACGGGGCTATAATGTTGTCTTCGATTGCCTGAGCCCGGTCTTGTTACAGACGTAAATCAGGCATCGACATACATAACTTCGCACATCTAGGATTCAAGTAGATCAGTAAAATTCATGCTTAATGGCGTCTCATTCTCCTTCTGGCCGGGATGTTTGGCGTTCTAGTTGTCGTGGAAGCAGTAAAGCAGATGCCTAGTAGCCTCGGGTACAACCACCACGTCTGCTTCCGTCATACGATGGGATTTTCCTGGTAGGATGTGTGAGACTGGGCGTCTCAACAGTTAAAAAGAACTCTTAAAGAAGTATCATCCATCTCGTACTTTTCTTCTGTCAGCATCAACTTGATACTAGCGGCTGATATGATTTTCCACTCCTAATAGGTCCCTTCTTTATAAAGCACCGCGGCAAATCATGTGTGGGTGAGACCCCCTTGCAGAACGTACGATAAATCAGGGTCGGATCTGCCGCAATTTCCGCCGGTTGATTGAGGTTGGAAAGTCGGCGATTTGTTGTAGGTGACGTTTTGTGGGTGGGTTTCCCTACCGAGAAACTTTTTCCAAGATATTCTCTTTCCGATTGGAAGATTTGACATTTCTCAAAGTCAACTCATAGTTCGTGGGTTTGGAGCCGTTCCAATATAAGGTAAGTGGTGCAAATGTTCCTGATTATTTTTGAAATACACGATTATATCACCTAAATAGACGAGAATAAACTATCGTATGTAGCCGTCATTGATTTTTGAAAAGTCGAAAGAACGTTCTTTAGACAGAACGGTACGACTTGAAATTGGTAACATGTTCCTGATTAACTGTATACGATGTTTTGTGGATCGCGTCGTTAGTGCTGGTGCCTTCAGAATCGAAACGTTTCGGAACTCTAGTGAGGAGATGTGATAGCACCAGAACTAAAGGCGCTGGAACGGTATGATATTTTCCAATACGCTATCGACCTCCCTGTTCGTCCAAATTGAATACAACGCCGCTTGTAGTCGATTACGGCTCGCGAGTCTATTAGTTATGAGTCTCATAGGAACACTTTCTCCTACAATTCCGGACAAAGAAAAAATTGCAACTTTATTTCGACCCCATTTATATGAACCGTGATGTTTATTGTGTCCGTGATATTTTTGGTTTGTAGGTCCTCCCATACTTTGTGTCGGACCAAATTAAGCGAAGAGTAGAAGTTTGACGGTTAGTTTTCTGCGCAACCCCTACTTGATTGGTGGCAGGGCGTCTTTCTTGTCGTAGAGAACACTGGGAGGTTGTGACAGACTTACTAGTGGCTACTGATGCGTGGTGACAGAATTCCATGGCCCTTCTGTCTTTCCGAGCAGTCGCGGTTGTAGTGATAATCAGGGCAGAAGAAGCATACGGGGAGCTGTTTGGATGACGGTATGGCTTGATTAGCATGACTGCTTCTTGTTTCTCTGATAGATGTTCTTCCAATCGGTAGGTTAGTGCGACAAGCTCATTAAATAAGGCCGGGTGGCCTGTATCTAAGTGGCCAAGGTTTGAGGTTGTCATGTTTAGACAATTGGACATTAACTCATTCTCTATGAATGTTATTCGTGTTAGACCAGACACTGCTTCTTCTTTAGAATGCTATATACTGACTCGTATGTGTGTTTTTCGGCGAAGAATTTCATTATGTTGTTATTACGGCGGAAAGAGCTATCGAATTCCTTGACCACGAGCCGACGGAATTCGTGGTGAGCTAGTTGTAACCAATATGTTCCCCCCCAGGGTCCTCACCTTGTCGCGGTGGGGGGCTCAGTACCCATACACATGCTATGGCGAAGCTAAAGGGCCCCCGGGCATCTGGAAGCAAAGTTATTGTGGGAAGCAGCCGACGGACACGGGCGAAGGTCCGGAAGCACCAGTCTGGTGTGCCACAGAGAGCCGCGGAAGCCCTGAGGGGAAAGTATGCGGCAGCTGGCGGTCGAACGCGACGTAAGGCCAGCACAGACGAGGTAGGCTAACGCGAGAGTGTCGGTTCTCCCCTCGCAATAAAGCCTGCCGAGTCGAAAGAGAGCCTCTCCCGGTGAAGCCACCATCACCATTAGTGGCAATCGCATGGGAACCTCGACAGGCGCCGAAAAGTCAGCGATCCTCTCAGTAGCTGCCTCACTACCCATGTCCAAGGCGAAGTAAGTGTCATTTATGGTGAAAGCAGAGTAGATGCGAGAAGCGTAGTAGCTCGGGCGAGCCAGGAGGCTGAAGGATGTCCGGTGATAGCGAGAGTACAACAAAACGGATGTCACCCAGCGAGGGGTGCTCCGAAGTAGCTGATGACGACCGGAGAGCATATACCTGTACTCAGGAGGCGGAGAGCCCACAGTCTAGCTTCGATTTCTGCTCCGCCAATTGGTGTTGGACTCGAGGTGGCAGTTGGGTAGGTACAGCCCACATGCTGGGCTAGGGGGCTGTGCAGCGGATCGCCCGGTTCGTTGTGTAGTCCCTGCATTGAACGCTTAAGGGCGTAGATAGGCCCGAACTTGGGGTTACTCGCCTCGTTAACCCTCAGGCACCGCATCGGTGGCTTCCTGGGACCAATCCGTCTGACGGCTCAGCTGTGTTGGTTTGACGTGTGGCCAATAGATGGTAAGGTGTCGCACGTTAAATCTCCATTAGTTGTAAACAATATGTTAGCCGCTTTTCGTGTTCGTCGCATGTGTCCGAAGCATTCAAAACATGACATCGAGGCGGTCGATGAAAAAATGAGAGTCTTCTTTCGTGCTACTAGAAAAAAGCAACCATGAAGTAGCAATGTTAACCGGAATTCGCCGTAATTGGGCGATCAGTTCACTTACTATCTGCTCTGGCAGTCATTGTTTCCTCTTGCTAGTAAGGATATTTAGGACAATGTTTCTGGAAATAAGGCAGGTGGCTGTGACCTGACAAGTTCACCATTTCAAAACGCCTGTCAGATGTCATTGGTTTGTAATGATAGTATCAAATCGAATGTAACGATTGGGCGCGTTGTATTCATTGTGGTCGTAGTAGGCATCGAAGACATTGGACAGCGTGTTTTTTTATCCTCCGTTAATTCAAGCGGATTTCAGAGTTGAACTTTAAAGCAGTTACCGGTAGTAGGGCTGCATGGCGTTCGTACAGGTTTGGGGTTCTCTATAACTCTCGAGGAATTCTGGCACCACATTGAGCACCATAACTCCTGTAGGACTGGATTCGCGTGGTGAACCTTTCACACAAACTTTAGTTTTAATTGTTACTGATTTTATAATACATCATTTGGTAGATTTCTGTTACTTTGTTTTAAAGTAGTTTAAGGTATCATTTAAACAACTTTTGATATTGCCTAAATTCTTCTAAATATTTTTCATTCCAGTAAATAGAGGCGATGACCTTCAGTAGCATGTCCCGACCCCAATGTACACAAACAAACTATTATATTACTGTACTCCCATGATAAATTTCAAAGTTCAGGTTATAGATAATGTAACATGTCCTAGCGAAGGTAGTACATGGGGTTACAGTAAGTGCAGCTATACTCACAGCTATAGTCTCATCTAGCACGACTTTCCTCCCCGGTCACGACCAACAAGCAAGAGCGTAGCCGACGCGATTCATTGGTGCACGGTTTTGACTGAGTTGGACTTTGTACTAACAGACAACTTTTCGTATTTTATGTTTATTGATGATATACGTATATGTCGTAAACCCTAAATTCTCTACTCTACAACTCCTACATTTACGACTGTTGTGTTAAACGGTTATCGCTACCGCTGGTAATTTATTTTGAATAATTGTTATAGTACTTACCTATTAAATTAGCATTAAATGTATCCGACGTCTGACTTTGTGTATTCTAATTTAAGTTTTTAGTTATCACACACAGAAATGAATCTTGGAAAAAAAATTTATTTGACAGTTATTGTATCGTTTAAATTAAGTAAATAATTATTTATTACCACTAAATACGGGAAACTGGATAGATTTTAGAAAATTTCGGGGCGTTCTATACATGTGGGGTTAACTCGAAGTCTTATAGGGCCATTGAATAAAGACAAAAAGATATGAAATGGTAGTTTCACCTCTAAAGATGATAAAACCACAAAGTGTCCCTTTTTTAAGGGGTGCGTTTTTGAACAATCTTAAAAAAGGCACAAAAGGCACCCCTATCAGTTTTCTCCAAATAACTCAAAAACGATGCAATTTTCGAGATTTTTACAAGTACTTTTTTTATAAAATTGGATTTTCCATCGAAATACATTTTGGTATTGAATATGATAAAAAAATAAACCCTTTCTTTTTTTATTCTTATTTGTACGATGAAAATTCACCGAGATATCGATGATTAAAGTTGCCTACTTCTTCTTGTATTCTACTCCGCTTTATCGCAAATGCGTTTTTTTTTTTTAATTTTCGATGTATCTACTCATTTAATTACTAATCATCATCATAAAGTCGTCAGTCCTAAGGCTGGTGAAATATGCACCTCCACGTTTTCCTATTCTGAGCTAATCTTTTCATTTCCCTAAAACCAGAACATCACACGTACTTAACTATTTCTGAATAGTAATCTAATCTAAGTTTCCTGTTTCTGCGTTCAATATGTCCCTAATTATCCCTTCATGCCTGAGAAGGTGTTCCACCAACCTGTCCTATGGATGTATGGATAATAACCACAAAAATTTAAATTTAAATAATGGAACATCACTCTTCTTGCGTCAGTATTTATATTTTCTGGATAAAAAAAACAAGTTTCCATTTAGGCAACTTGCGTTTAAATATGTCCATATTACCGTTTTAATATAAATGTATCAAGAGGATCTGAGCACAACGGGAGATTTAAACGTACATACACTTCAAAACTCAAGAATAGTAGTAGTAATTTATCTTAAAATTGTTGATAATAATTTTCGTTTTATGGTAAAACAAATATATGTTAGGCCCGAAGACCGAAAACGCTCAGTGGCCGGAAAAAACGGCCACAACGCGTTCTGGCTGCCTTCAAACGCACAGAACGCGTTCTGGCTGTTTTTAAACGCTCGCAACGCGTTCTGGTAACTGTTAAACAGCCGGAACGCGTTTTGTCAATTGTTGAACGCTCACAACGCGTTCTTAATGTTCGACTTGTATTATTTGCCGCTTTCTACCTGCGTACAATGAGATTTATATTGTACTTATAAAACAAATGAATTTCAATCCATTTTTCAGTTTTTAGGAAACAATTCAGTTATTGACAACTATAATTGGATACCAAAGATGGGTTCGGTTTTTCTCGCCGAATCATTTCAACAATATTAAATTTCTTATAATTGTTTTTCAGTTCTAGGAAGAAAGTTACACTGAACACTTATATTGTCGAGCATATGATATACGAATGAATGAATGAAAAAGCGAAAAGGTATTCATTAAACAAATGAATTTCGACACATTTAACTTAGTGTGGAGTACAACGCAAACTTAAATTCATGCCTTTTTTACTTTATTAGAAACGATTTAATTTTTGACAACCACAATTAAATACAAACGAGGGGTTTTTTCGAACTTTCAAGTACTTTACATAGGTATATTACTTATTTTTACAAGAACTGTTTGAATGACATTTCGAATTACATAGTACATTTAAATTGCGACACTTGCATTTTTTATCAATGCACATTCGTTTGCACTGACAAAAAACAAAACCTTGTTTGCTTCCTGATGATTGAGTTGATGCTGATCGTAAGGAGATTTTGTCCGCTGGTACCACACTTTCATATTCACACACTCAAATTTTAACTGTATACCCGACAACAATTGACAAAACGCGTTCTGGCTGTTTAACAGTTACCAGAACGCGTTGCGAGCGTTTAAAAACAGCCAGAACGCGTTCTGTGCGTTTGAAGGCAGCCAGAACGCGTTGTGGCAGTTTTTTCCGGCCACTGAGCGTTTTCGGTCTTCGGGCCTAACATATACATGGGAAATAAAAAAAAGAACGTTCGCAATAAAACGGGGGAAATATAACAAAACGTAGGCAACTCTAGATCTCGATATCTCGGTGAATTTTCATCGGACAAAATAGAATAATAAAAGAAAAGATATATTTTTTCAAGGGCTACCTTTTCTCTGAATATTTATAAATACTTTAATTGTCCAGGAAAAAATTTATAACTGGTTTAATAAAAAAAAAATATTTTCTGCTTCTAATAAGAGTGCCTTTTTTATGATTATTCAAAAATGCACCCTTTGAAAAAGGATAACCACTTTGTGGCTGTATCATCTTGACAGTCCAAACTACATATTCTACTTTAGCGCACTTGTTCCATACTAAAATCTCATAAAGTTAACAACCGATCTTTATAAAAACTGGAGCACATTCATACACTGTTATAAACAACAACAAATTCCTGAAAATTTCAAGGTTGTATGTGTTTTTATTCCCGAGATATTTAATGCAAAGGAATTTTTATTTTATTTTGAACATGATTTAGTAATAAACAAAGGCACTTAGTGACTTCCAACCAGTACCATTTTTTAGACAATTATGTGGGAAACAGAAAACATGTAAGATACATAACTTCACATTTTTTTGGTAACACCTTTATTGAAATTCAGTTGTTTACAATAGGATCGAAATTTTTACTCACCAATAAACATTTATTGTAGTTATAATTTGATAACCAAAAAGTAAAACGCGTTTAAAATGGAAGACGGCACATCTACGTAATAATAGATAAGTACTGAGTACATATAATAATTATATGTGAAGGTAATTATTCTATAGACAACATTTATAGTAAACTTAATGTTCTTCTAATTTGAAATTTAAGTTATAAATAACATGATTTTATTGAACACTAATAAATACCATTTTACCATACTTGATAAATTGATAGATCATACATACATGCAGTTTTCAATCCTTAACATTCATTATAATCTTTGGATACAAGTATATACCAGTAATTTGATATTAATGGTACAAGATACACAGATATAGTCGCATAACGGTCTATACTCTATAGGGTACAATAATTAACATTACCACACAGCTTTAACATCCACCAGTTACACTATGATTATAAACGAAATATATTGAGACATAATATAGTTAGAAATAAAAAATAATATTTGTTCCGGTCTTACTTTCGTTTGTAATGTAATTGTGAAAATTTAATTGTTTATTTTAATTCGTCATTAGATGATTTTAGTTTTCGTATATTACCTATTTATTATTAATTTTGTACTTTTCACATTAGGCCTAGTACAATTACAGTTGATAATAGACGAAAACGGTACTGCATTTATTTAGTTTTGGGAACACAAGAAATAATAACATCAAGTAGTCGTTGTATGTACATTAGGGACCTAATTGAAAATTTTGTCCTACCAACAGTAGGGTTGCTTTTCAGTATATAACTTGTATTAAATTATAAAACAGTTTAGGAAAAACAAAAAAAGGGATGAAATTATTAGAATTAACTTAATGTGATTGTATCTACCAGAAAATCAAGATAAAGCCTTTAAATTTCTAATAAAAACAAGGATGAATGTTCTCGTTAAATTATCATACACTAACAGATTCGTTATCATTGATGAGTGTTGTTCCTTACTTGCTTATTACTTGCTCGAAAGTTCTTAAAAATTTAGGTGCAAGAAAACCTTCTTAAGATACTATTACACAGGACTACTTTCCTTAGATATTTTGATATAAGTAAATTTGGTTTCGTAATTATATAGAATATCAATCTCACAGAGCAGCCAATAAAATATGTGTTTTAGAATGAAGATTACTTTACTTTGAAGAACATTATCAATAAAGATGTTTATAAACTTGAAGAATATACTATAAAAGATTTTAATACACAGGACACATCCATATCTAATAATTGCAAACAATAACATCATTCTCAATTTCACAAATTAGTCTTGGCAAATATGAATGTATATTGTCGAACATTTTCAATAAAAAGACACGGCTATGTGTTGTTACAAGCAAACAATGTAGCTTTTGTCATATCAAATAAATTACAAAAATATTTACCTATATGAACTACATAAATCGTCAGTCGTCTTTAGTTTGTCTGTTTTTTATTCTTATGGAATGCAAAACTTTGCTGAGGTATCACAAAAGTCATCGCTTCTTATTCTGCAAAGTTGAAATAAATACATCGGCAATGATTCACTTTTTAGGTTTACAAAGATGCAATTATCAAAACGTAAACGTTAAAACATTAACCATCAGCCAGCGATGGCGTAACCCACCCGTATTTCTCGTGCGTTTTAACAAGAGATCTAAAGCTTTCTTCGGCAGCTCGTTTATTAAATATCTTTTGTCCTTTGGTTTTCCGCTGAATACGACCCTGTCCTTTAACCACACTCGCTGCAAACTGCATTATAACCGCCTCAACAGTATATGCACTGGCCCATCCTCGAGGTGTCAGTAGTTCCATACAAATGGCACCACCTTCCATAACAAACCCTTTTTCTATACGGGGAGAAATGACTCGCATGAAAGGAGGTGCAAAAGGAAAATTCTCTGGAAATACTAAATTGAGTAAAATAAAACTGACTCCCAATTCGGTCATGTCGTTTCCTAGAGGACTTTCCAAGTCTATTTTATGAAGCTTTACTTGCCATTCGAATAAGTTATCGTCTACTAATTCTACCGTGAATACGGGATCTAATCGCGAATTTTGCAGGCGCTGAAGATCGCGAAACTCTTTCATGAGGCGTCTAGTGCGGACCGTTTTGTTAGATGGGGTAGATGTCTCCTGACATTTTTTGTTTCCTGGTTTGGTGTTTGCGAAGCCAGGACTTCCTGGCGGATTAGCTGCAGGTGATACGGTATCCCGGCATCCCCGAAGAAGACGTCTTGCAGGAGAACCATTAGACGACGTGCCAGCTTTACTTGGATCTTCACCTTCTTTATTTGATGAGCCGAATATTCGCCGAAATATCGAAGACACTTTTCCTTTTGAACGAACACTCATGTTTCTTGAGCACCTTTTGATAAGCTATTTAATCTATTTACCTGAAAAAAAAAAGAAATCATAATTAAAACGGTGCAATGCATCAACATCTTAATGTTTCTTCTTTTTCGCCATTAATTTCTTAAGACTGCATTATTGTATACACGGACACTATAAAACTCTTTTAAACACTGTAACATACTCGTATAATCAACCTGTTAAATAAATACAAATAAAAATAAATTTTAATAGTTAGGTCGTAAAAGCACATAAATGTGTAACTTTTTTTGGCAGTTCTGCAGCTATTTGCCCCTGAGCTGTAGGTATCCTAAATTTTAAAATTTTAAGCTAAGTACCTGATGGCCATATTGCATATTCACAATATCATTTTTTCCGCACATCCCAAATGGTCCCGAAATAATCCAAATCCAAATATTCAAAACCTATATTCAGAGTTAAAAAAATATTATACCTTAATCATACAAATCACGACTATCCGATTACTTTATTAATGCATTGAAATTTAGTTTTTTTCTTAATAAATAAAATTTTCATAATGTCATATCGGTAAATGCCTCCCATTGTCATTGTTTGGCTATTATAAACGTTATATTCTGGTTCAGGATAGACACTTGAAATAACTATTTTGAGAAAATTGAAAATAAAAATTTGTTAATTATTCGGGACTTATTGAGTGGGTGATATTTGAATATAATTTCCATGCTCATTACACTGTATTTCAGCGATTCCGCTCATATTATTTGCTGAAATTAACAATATTTTTTCAAATTTTGGCGTTCCTAGCAGTCATTGTAGGTATTTATTTATTTATGCACCAACGGACAAAATTGCCCTTTACAAAATGTTATGCAACATAACATTAATCAATATAATTAATAATACATACGTAAGGTAGGCATAATTATCGAATATATCAAAATAAAATTAATAAAATTCAAAAACAATGTCTCTCATTATCTGCTTAAATTTCAAAATACCAAGATTTTCACAATTAATTAAGCTAATATCTTGTGAGAAAATATTCCAATTTTGCCTTAATCTATTGGTAGATGCAAAAAATATATAATTAGGCAAAGTATTGCTCTCTTAAATTAATATTAATCTACCCTAAAAGTTTAGCTAGAAAATAATGAAAGGACTGCGGACATCCCGGTGGTCAAAAGCCACATGTAATGTCATAGAAAAAATGACCTTTTCCAACTTTACAAATTGTATGCATCGAATTTCAAAATATTCTAGCATATCTAGCACGTACATGACCATGGGCTCAGCTGCAATTAACCACGGCGTCTTAACCTATCGGTTTAATTATGGTAGGTCTTCAACATCAAACTTGTAACACTATGGTGCTACGGTTAAAACGGGCGAGATCGATATCATATCATAGCCCCATCTTTTCCGAACATTGTTTTTTAATTCGCGTTATCATCTGGGAGATGCAGAATATTGTTGAAAACAGAACTGAAGTAGAAACAAATAGTAAGTTATACAGAACAACAGCCAGGAGGGTTTAAATGCAACATTTTGAAAAAACCAATGGTGAGGAAAGGAAACGCGGAAAAAAACTGCGATTCATAAATCCATGATCAACAACAAAAATGTACGTGTACAACACATACCTACAGTACAACTTCGAGTTACGCATAATGTCGAAACAAGTCACACTGCAAAAAGACGCAAATTGCACCACAAATGTTCTATAGGGTTGAGATATGAACTACGAGGTAGCCAATGTACTACCTCAATGTTCACCTCCTCTAAGTACTTTTTTACCATAGGAGCAACGTGATGTCTTGCATTAATATGCATAAATAGGATTTTATTGAGTTTAAATGTCCCGAATTTAGCAAATGTGTTAAAAAAACATCATCAAGAAAAAATGAGGCTATATTTTAAAAAAATGACCGTAAAAGTTGCTTTAGCGGTTTGCAAGGAATTTAAATTTCAATNATAGATTTTAGAAAATTTCGGGGCGTTCTATACATGTGGGGTTAACTCGAAGTCTTATAGGGCCATTGAATAAAGACAAAAAGATATGAAATGGTAGTTTCACCTCTAAAGATGATAAAACCACAAAGTGTCCCTTTTTTAAGGGGTGCGTTTTTGAACAATCTTAAAAAAGGCACAAAAGGCACCCCTATCAGTTTTCTCCAAATAACTCAAAAACGATGCAATTTTCGAGATTTTTACAAGTACTTTTTTTATAAAATTGGATTTTCCATCGAAATACATTTTGGTATTGAATATGATAAAAAAATAAACCCTTTCTTTTTTTATTCTTATTTGTACGATGAAAATTCACCGAGATATCGATGATTAAAGTTGCCTACTTCTTCTTGTATTCTACTCCGCTTTATCGCAAATGCGTTTTTTTTTTTTAATTTTCGATGTATCTACTCATTTAATTACTAATCATCATCATAAAGTCGTCAGTCCTAAGGCTGGTGAAATATGCACCTCCACGTTTTCCTATTCTGAGCTAATCTTTTCATTTCCCTAAAACCAGAACATCACACGTACTTAACTATTTCTGAATAGTAATCTAATCTAAGTTTCCTGTTTCTGCGTTCAATATGTCCCTAATTATCCCTTCATGCCTGAGAAGGTGTTCCACCAACCTGTCCTATGGATGTATGGATAATAACCACAAAAATTTAAATTTAAATAATGGAACATCACTCTTCTTGCGTCAGTATTTATATTTTCTGGATAAAAAAAACAAGTTTCCATTTAGGCAACTTGCGTTTAAATATGTCCATATTACCGTTTTAATATAAATGTATCAAGAGGATCTGAGCACAACGGGAGATTTAAACGTACATACACTTCAAAACTCAAGAATAGTAGTAGTAATTTATCTTAAAATTGTTGATAATAATTTTCGTTTTATGGTAAAACAAATATATGTTAGGCCCGAAGACCGAAAACGCTCAGTGGCCGGAAAAAACGGCCACAACGCGTTCTGGCTGCCTTCAAACGCACAGAACGCGTTTTGGCTGTTTTTAAACGCTCGCAACGCGTTCTGGTAACTGTTAAACAGCCAGAACGCGTTTTGTCAATTGTTGTCGGGTATACAGTTAAAATTTGATTTTTTTTTCAACTTTTTAATTAAAACATAGTACATTTAAATTGCGACACTTGCATTTTTTTATCAATGCACATTCGTTTGCACTGACAAAAAACAAAACCTTGTTTGCTTCCTGATGATTGAGTTGATGCTGATCGTAAGGAGATTTTGTCCGCTGGTACCTCACTTTCATATTCACACACTCAAATTTTAACTGTATACCCGNACAACGCGTTCTTAATGTTCGACTTGTATTATTTGCCGCTTTCTACCTGCGTACAATGAGATTTATATTGTACTTATAAAACAAATGAATTTCAATCCATTTTTCAGTTTTTAGGAAACAATTCAATTATTGACAACTATAATTGGATACCAAAGATGGGTTCGGTTTTTCTCGCCGAATCATTTCAACAATATTAAATTTCTTATAATTGTTTTTCAGTTCTAGGAAGAAAGTGACACTGAACACTTATATTGTCTAGCATATGATGTACGAATGAATGAATAAAAAAGCGACTTATTTTCGACACATTTAACTTAGTGTGGAGAACAACGCAAACTTAAATTCATGCCTCTTTTACTTTATTAGAAACGATTTAATTTTTGACAACCACAATTAAATACAAACGAGGGTTTTTTTCGAACTTTCAAGTACTTTACATAGGTATATTACTTATTTTTACAAGAACTGTTTGAATGACATTTCGAATTACATAGTACATTTAAATTGCGACACTTGCATTTTTTATCAATGCACATTCGTTTGCACTGACAAAAAACAAAACCTTGTTTGCTTCCTGATGATTGAGTTGATGCTGATCGTAAGGAGATTTTGTCCGCTGGTACCTCACTTTCATATTCACACACTCAAATTTTAACTGTATACCCGACAACAATTGACAAAACGCGTTCCGGCTGTTTAACAGTTACCAGAACGCGTTGCGAGCGTTTAAAAACAGCCAGAACGCG